ATCGCTTTGATGTTGACATTTAAAACACTTATTAAATGTTTCCACAAATATTGACAACATTAAATAACGGAATTAATATGTCTTTAAGAATCGACAGCATATGAAGTAATTTCCAAGAATTATAATGAAAATCAATTTATAACATTTTTGACATGCGTTTTTCTGGATTTTGTTGTTGTTATTCTGTCTCTCACTGTTCAAATAAACCTACCATTAAAATTATAGACTTATCATTTCTTTGTCAATGGGCAAACATACAAAATCAGCAGGGGATCAAATACTTTTTTCCCTCACTGTATGTCATCAGTTTTTTACATCACTGATGACGTACACACGTACGCACCCTTTCCCTTCCCGATGGCGTAAAAACTGATGGCATAGTGCATACGTCATAAGTTTTGATGACGTAAATGTTTACTGATGTAGGTGTGTACGTCATCAGTTTTTACGTCATCGGAAGGGGAAAGGGTATAAGAATCAGGTTAAATCACGTGTGGCTGAAACGCCGGATTAGATCCCAAGATCTTGGCAACGTCAGCTCCGTGTCTGACCCCCGAACAAATTGTTCACTTCTCTATCAGTGTTCTTCACGGGGGAGTCATAGTCTTAGCACACGTCTGTTTTCATGACTTATTTTATTTTGGTGGCTGGATGGCTCAAAATAAATGTCTTGTTGATGTAATAAGATGTGAAATATCTCATGTAACATCATGCAAGAGCCTTAAGCATATGTCCCGAAGATATCAAAGACATGGGCCCAGGGTTACATCCTAAAGTTAATCTAATAAAGTACAAGATTCTGCAAGTATAATATTCACTGAACTTCAGAGCAGTTAATATTTTTGGGAATATATTTGATGACGACTGTGAGTATAGCAGTGCCATTTTTGTTTATTGTACAATGTTGATCATCATGGTTATATATCTCTATCCTTTTACAGATCCAGCACCTGTCGGTGCATTTAAATGTTTCCCGAATACGTCGACGAATATTTACTGCAATTGGTCTCTCCCCATTGGTGTATTTATGGATATTCTTTTGTGGGTGTCTGATAACTCTACTGTGGTGCAAAACATCAGCATTTTCAATGGCAAAGACCCCTCTATAAGCACATCTCCTGACAAGCAACCAAAAGTAAAATTACTGTTGAGCACAACAACCAATAAAACGTTCATCACAATTGAACAACTGAAGCCGAACACTCTTTACACGGTCAGCATCGCGGTCATTGCCGGATCTCTGCAAAGTCAAATCATTGAAAGCACTGCAAAGACTGACGTGACCGGTGAGTGAACGCGTCCATCTGTCGCAAATGCACATGCGGTAATCTGTGAGTAGAGGAATCTAGTGCAGCGAAACGTCGTGATTTTTATTTTTATTTTATTTTGATGTTTTACTTACGTGACTTAACCGAAAAAAACCTAAGAATATGAATCTTTGCAGTCACGAAAGCTTCAAATCTAGAATTGCAGCGAAGTCTCTTTGTAACATCTGTCAGAATACTTTTTGCAACAGATTATTTCGTACAACCCCCCCCCCCTGCCCCCCTGCCGGCGTAAATATGGCAAACAAATAACGTACAGTCTGTTCTCCTACAATGCGGTAGTAGTTGTGTTCCTGAAGAACAACCGCATTATGGAAAGATCGCGTTGTCTATATACCTAAAGACCTTAATCAGAAACTTTGTACGTCTTAAACATCTCTAGGGTACTTCCCGACAAGGTAGAAAGCTGAAATTCGGTTCACGGGTAGCTTTTAGGACACAACAACAGGGCGAACTCTGAAAATCCGAGATGTGTCATTTTAAGGCCCCCAAATCGCGATTGCAAGTGCCCCAGAAAAACACAGTTGTGCACGTGGTGTCATTCAGAAACCGTTCAAAATATAAGATTTCTGTTTGTTCGTTTAAGATATTTCGGATTCAAGCAGTTTTAAGCAAAAAAATCTGCATTTTATGATCTTCACGTCTGAATAATTAGAAAACGCTTAAAGATAGGAGCGATTCCCCTTGTAGACTATTACGTTAATTACTTTTAGTTCTTGCAAATAAAAAAAAGAACGGAATCTTTTAATTGAGTGCTTTTTGATGGGTACGTCTTTAAAAATAATAATTTGATTAAGATTGTCAACACTTTTTATATTCGTTTGTTGTTGGAAAAATACCACATTTTTGAAGTAGTTAAACGGTCTGATCGTAGGTCAATGTGCAATTAATATAAAAAAATATGTTTTTGTAAAAAATCACCTCAGGTTCACTATTATATTTATTAAAAAGTTTGCTTGGCGAAGACAGCCCCTTCATGAACTCGTAATAAACAATGTATAATATAGGAGGTTAGTTTAACACGTAGGCTTTCGCGACCAATGTTATTCATAATCAACGTTTTCGGGTTTAGATCGCGTTATTTATAAATGTGTCGTAACCCTCCACCACCCGACACGGCCAATCAGTAAAAAAGTGTCACGTTGACAAAAGACAAATAGTTCACTGCTTTAGCCCACCGGTGTGTTGAAGCCACAACATTTAGAATTTGAGTACGACGTTTCGCTGGTAATTGCATCCAGCATCATCGGGCAAGGTGAGGCTCTGCTGTGTCTCCCGTCCTTATATAGAGCAGCAGCAGCGTGACATCATCATTAACTCATCAACTCATCAGGTGCAAAGATTCAAGGGGGGAGTGATTGTAATTATATACTAGATTAGTAATCAGGCTATTGTTACGATGCGAGTTGTAGATTAGTAATCATTTGAAATTGTTTGGAATGTGTTTTATTGTGATTATGCTACATTAGTAATCAGTGTTTGTTTCCCTTATAAGGGATTGTAATGCATCTTATTTAATAATACGCTTCCAGGCCGCACTAAGCCTGTAGCTGTCTGAGCGATTAAAGTTATTTCTGTTTCTCTCAATTTCAATCGATTCTCTAATTAGTCTTTGCCAGTAGTAACTAGTTTTACACAACACGTGCTATGCGAGACGCAGGCCGAACCAAGATCAAAGCACGTGGGTAGCGTCTAGAAGCATCCAGCAGCATCTCGACGCCTTGCGCGATGACAATGACGACGCTACGCCGGGGCAGCCTGTTACGATCACTTGTTCCTACTCGCGCGCACGACGTGGTTCCGTTCGCTCGATCGTGTTGCATCCAATTTGCACCCGCGTTGTAGACAAATGTGTCCCCCTCCCCCAACGCGCTCATTGCGGTGTCTCCAATTGGCGTTACGAAAACAACACGCGGCGTTTATGGGAGAACTGACTCTACAAACTTCTTCGTGTTCACGTGTACCTCTCAACTGAATGGTGCAACTAGCGATTCGTTTTGATTGAAAGCTTTCGTGACTGCAGGGATTAATCTTCTTGGTTCTTTCTGTAAAGTCACGTAGAAGGGAAATTATAAAATAATTAAAATAAAACATAATAAAATAAAAATTATCACGACGTTTCGGCCACAACACAAGCAGCCGTCCTCAGCTGAAGAAACAGAGCTGTCTTTCCGACAGCTCTGTTTCTTCACCTGTTTTATTTTTTATAATTTTATTATTTCTCTTCTACGTGACTCTACCGAAAGAACCAAGAAGATAGCGATTCGTTCTTCGGGTTTAGGTCGTGTGGGTGCAATGCCAATCAAGAGATATGCCCCCCTCCTCCAACCGACCCGGCCACAGAGATCGAGTCATCACGTGGACAAATATGCCAGTTAATAATATACATATTTTTGGGTTAGGATCATGTAAATATAAATGTGTCGTTAAACCTGCCACCACCCGACACAGCCAATAAATAGTGTTTGTCACGTAAACAGAACGTACCAATTCGTCACTAGTACAGCACAACAGTTACAATCCGAGTCCAACATTTCGCCAGTAATTACAACTAGCTTCGTCAGGCGATGGCCAGATTTGTGGTAAAAAATCTTCCTGTTTCGTTTCTTATATGCCAGTTATACCTCAGAACCTTTACTTAGACTGGAGGAATCCGATGAGCCATGCAGCTCTTTTTCACCAATGTCTAGTAGGGGGCACGGGGATCAGCAAGTCACAAACTGCACAACCTACACGATCAAAACCCAAACAACTAATTACGGATCGCAACAATAGTCGTGAAAGCTTACATATCGTAATTTAGATGTTCTGGCGAGATGTTAACTTACCTCACCTCGTATAGGGAGGTCGTCGGTTCGATCGCGACCCTGACGCCTGTATATATTTGCATGTTCTCCCTGTGGCCGCGTGGATTTTTCTCCGGGTCCTCCGGGTTTTCCCCTTTCAACATTTAGAAAACATGCGTTTTAGAGTATTTGGCTGCTATAAATGTCCACGTGATGATCCTTTGTGTGATTGCCAGGTCGCTTCTGAAAAAGAGCTATGCAGCTTTCAGTGGGCCTTACCTGGTAACTAGGTGGGGAGGGGCTGGTCACCCCGTGGTGCCCTTATAAAACTACTACTCATGCCGACTTGTGCCCGCCCTCACAGTCGGGCATATTTGCGGAATACACCATGCCGCCGTTGACCCTGGCCATTGACCGAGCAACCCAACGTTCCTATCAGCTCCCTCCGCAGGAGGAATGTGTTTGTTAGACTGCGGGAGGAATCCGATCAGCTACAATGCTCTTTTGTCACAGATGCCCAGTCGGGGCACAGGGTCAGAACGTTACAACAACAAACACAATACACACAAACGCGATAGGAGTGCAAAATTAAAGGGAAGGTAAGCAAATCTCTAAAAAACACATATATATTTTCAGCAGGCAAAGCCCACTGAGCTATTAGCTTATTTTTCAGACGTGACCTGGCATTCACAAATGATGGCGCAACGCAGCCACTTAATCATCGTCATCACGTTGGAAATACTATAGCAGCGTGGGCACACTCCCACTTATTTTCCCCCCAAGACCTACATCGGAGAGTCAACCAAAGCGCCCTCGTAAAGGGGGCTCTCCAGAGCTACGTCGAGTCTGTGACGTTCCTGCAAAAGCGGTGGGCACGGGCAAAGTGCTCGCAGGGTTGCAGCGTGACCCTCTGACCTCACCCGCTTATCCGGTGGATGTGCGTGTGCGGGGAGCGGTAGTGGGAGCGGTCATCGTGCCGCGATGCGAACCGGCGACCCGAGCTTCGATTCCCCGCTCACGAGCACCAGCAACCGAGTGGCGCTTACCTGAATCGCTTCTGGGCCTCCCCTAGATCGACTCGGCCTCAAACGAGTACCTGGGGTGTTTTCTTACACATTGCCACACGACGGGAGACAAATGCGGGCGGGCTTGGTGCTGCCCACCCACCCCCTTGTGTGCCACAGTGCTGGCCTTCATCGGTGCTGCTACTCGATAACGTCACTTGCTCCAACAGTCTGTTAAGGCTACGCAGGGGATCTTTGTCCCCCGCAGAAGGCTGCGGTCCATCAAGACCAAAACCTCACGTCATAAAAACAGTTTTTTCCCATCCGCTGTTGGCCTCCTCAACAAGGCCAAGGGCTTAAAATGACTTTTAGACTTAAAATGACTGTTACACTTCCTATAACATTTTATCTACATAATTACACCGTTCCATACTTACAACGTGTAATTTTATTTGTATTTTTGTATTTTAAGATTGTTTAATACGGCTAATTAACATTTTACATTTCGCATTTTATAAGGTCTACTTATTCATAATTTTAAAGATTTTAGCCCTTTAGTATTACTTATACTTTGTAACGTTAGTATAGTTAGAGTGTATACCTTTTATATAAGTTAAGATTCCTACTTGTTCAATGTATGCACCGTCCCGCCATAGTGAATTCCTTGTCTGTGCAAACTTACATGGCGATTAAAACCGTTTCTGGTTCTGATTCTGCGTATGTCTGACCGCTGTGGCCGCGTGCAGCTCCGCCAGACATTCCGGAGTCGGTGAAGGTCGACTCGGTGCCGAACACAGTGACCTCGAACAGCCTGACCTTGTCCTTCAGCTGCAGCTGGTTCGCCACCACCAACGGCGACCTCAAGTACTTCACGGTCATCGTCAAGGAGTCCGCGGGTACGTGGGCAGGAAAGACGATAACTAATGAAGCTATGTTCTATTTTAGCAGGTAACGCCCACCGAGCTGTGTAGCTCTCTTTCAGAAGCGGCCTGGCCACAAATGATAGCTCGACGACGTGGCCGATGTCGTCGTCTTCATCATCATCACGTGGAAATGTATAGTGGCCAAAGTACTCGAAACGCGTCACGTTGATTCTAAATTTGGAGATTAAAACCCGAAGACCTGGAGACAAATCCGTTCACCTTTGAATCTTGGAACGTTCAAGCGACTTGTGGTTCATCTCACTTAGAGAGGTCTAGTAGCAAGCGCCGTTGTTTTTCAAGGCATCGTTACTCACCGCAGAGAAGCGTAGCCACACGACCGCCGCCACTGTATGATAGCCGGCGTCAAAAATGTGCCACGTGCCCTGCCCTGGGGGGAGCCTCGGTACCGGTAACATTATCTTTATGTTTTTCTTCCTGTTTAGTTTTGACGATGTACGCGCACATGTTTAGTCGGAACGGAATTGGAAGAATGGGAAACGTTTAATATTGATAGGAGCCATGTAAATGGAGGACGTTCTGTATTGCTGTTTATATATTTTATGGGGCAACCACGGGAAATTTGACAAATCTCATACCTCAATACAACTGCGGGTGTTAAGGTATTCAAACACCAAACAGATACCTTTTGCATGGCGTCACTTCTGCATTACCCACACGAAGTACTTGTGGCAAAACGTGCAAACAAACATGGCTCTGATAATGTTTGATGCATTGCCTTGGAAACTGATCGGCCTACACCAGAGACAGCAGCAGCCTTCTTCCCAGCCTTGTCTCCGCACCGGCGTTCGACCAGAGAACATCGCCAAATGCGAACAGTAATCACAAAGACAATGCAAGCGTTGGAGCATTTATAGCTCGGGTTGAGCCGGTTACTTTATTGCCAGCAAAGGGCAAAAACGTATTCTTTATTTCGGATACTGGTAAGCAAAAAAAAAAAGAAGGGTCCCGTAAGATAAATCCCCACCTCGCCACACCGGATGGCTGACGCGTCCCTTCGCTTGCAGAGACGACCACCGATAAGCCCGAGAATAAATGGCCACTGAGCAAGTATTCGGACTACGTGAGCGGCACAACGAAGGTGTACCAGGTGGACGACCGCGTCTACCCCGCCGACTGCAAAAGCCCGAGCGCCACCGTGCAGGTCAAAGTCGGCACCGGCGCCACCAAGGGCGGCTTCGACGACGGTGCGCTGAAGCCGAACACGAAGTACAGGTGCGTTGTCTGAGAAAGTTCTCCTTGTCGTTATCACGATACATATATACGGTGGCGGCTCCTGCAAAATCTCTCAGGGGGGGCAAATGTCTGGATGATTGATAAGGATAAGGTCCACCCATGCAATGGAAAAATTAACAGCTTAAGCATGTAAAGGCAACTTCACTTCTTTAATATTAATGAAAAATAAAGTGACTCTTACAATACATCTTGTTTGTTTCTATACTCACTATTATTACAATCCACTCAGTTTCTTTTATTAAAGATTCCACTAGGTGGCGACAAATAATATTGTTGACTGAAACGTGCTTACGTATGATGACGTAAGCACGTTAGTGCGAGCCCTCCCGGAAGCCATAGAGAATGCATTGGAGCGCCCGCCGTTCGAAAAAAAACATCTTTGAATGTAAGTCTATGGGTACACTCTGGGCGATTATCAGCCAGAGTGAAATCGCCCAAAAAGAGGCGGTACTTTACAGAACGTGACATGACGCTGATTGGACTATATCCAGAGGCACAGTAACGGCTAGCGTAACTCTGTGGTTGAATGACATTGGTGGTGCGTCGCCCAATCGCCCTAATGAAGAAACCGCCCCTGCATATATATATTTTTACACATCTCTTTGCGTTGGTGCTCCGTGAGGCCACGCGTGGTGACGGGGCTACTGCACCGTCCGACACCGTTGGTGTCCGCCCGGTTGCTCGCCAAGCTGCATTGGCTTCCAGTTGCCGAGCGAATATATACGGCGGCGTTGTTGTAAGGCCATCGCACTCGTTGCACTAGGCCATGAAGGAGGCTGTCTCTGGTGTAGTATAATCGCTTTCAACGCGTTTTCAGTAGAACTCCTGTTAACGAGCACCCCCTGTTAACGACTGATCGCTTAAGAACGGGCCTCCATAGAGCCCAATGTGTAGTGTATAGTATTGTAGTGTATAGCAGTGTAGTGTATAGCAGTGTATAGTAGTGTAGTGTATAGCTGTGTTTTGTATAGTGTAGTTTAGTGCCTTTACAGAGCCCAATGTGTTCTCTTACCGGCCATTTCCCTCCTAACGATGGGCTGTTGTAGGTGCAGTAAATATGAATGAATGCATTAATGAAGCTGGGTGTAATTACTGGTGAAACGTCGTACTCAGATTGTAAATGTTGTGGCTTGGCTCTCCAACACACCGGTGTGACTACCCTTACTAGTTGGCTGTGTCGGGTGGTGGCGGGTTTTAATGACACATTTATATATTTACACGATCTAACCCAAAAAAACCTCTATTATGGATGAGATTGGTCGCGAAATCTTACGTGTTAAAATGTGTGTATAATATTGTTGGTTATTTTTACAAATACATTGTTTAAATATTATAAAGAAACTTTTTTTTAACCCTCTAACGTGCATTTCCTTTAGTGGCTTAATGACAAAATCACTTAACGACCGGGCTTTGTGGAAACCAATTGGCGTCATTAAGAGGAGGGGTTTCTACTGTAATGTCAAAGCATGTTAGTTTGCATGTTTCACCAAAAGCATGATGCGTGGCGACTGCAGACTTGATGATGCCTCTGGAATAGGTGTGTGGGAGTCTATTTGGGCGTTCAAACATCTTAACACCTTTTTATTTCGCCAGGAAAGGGGTTGAAGCCCATACCTTATTGGTCACCCCGTGCCCTTTATAAATATCAACGTTCATCCGATACACTACACTATACACTGTTATACACGACACTATACACTACTTTACACTACACTATACACTACACTAAAATATACTTGCCAACTCCTTATCAGTACCCTACCTTATTACTATCAATTCAGACCTTGTTGGTCACCCCGTGCCCCTTATAAATCTCAATGTTCATCCTACACAGTCCCATCACACGGGAGAAACACAAACAAGCAGACACATAAAAAAAAGTGTTTGCCCATATTGAAACGGCTCTATGCCGTATGGATCTGAAAACTCAATTTTCCCTGTACAAGAATACGGGGTAAACCGTGTGGGTTTGATATTGTGTGTTGAAGCCCCTTCGTATATTTTTTTATTTACTGTAACGAAATCAGAATATGAACGCGACAGCACAGCTACGTGGGCCGATCAGGCGCCCTGTCGCGCGGCGTGGAATTTCTCAATGGAAACCCTCCTTGGCGCCGTGCTGTCCTGCCTTTTCACGCGACCTCCCCCTCCCAAACCCCTCCATTCTTCCTGGTGGCACAGGTTCAGTTTCCGTGCGTACACGTTCATCCCGGGCACACGCTCCGTCCGCGCTGGGAACCAAGCCTTCTTCGCGGACACTTTCTTCTCTCTGCCGATCTTGACCTTGGTCGGTGAGTACTATAAACTTATTTTTTTTTACCAGAAAAGGTCCACTGAGGGCTATGCAGCCCTTTTTCAGAAGCGACCGTGCTATTGCTAAATAATAGCTCAATGAAGTGGCTTATCGTCACCAATATCATCGTGTGGACGTTCGTAGCAGCAGCCAAACACTTTGAACGCGTGACGTCGATTCTAAATGTGGAGGGCAGAAACCGGAGGACTCGGAGGAGAATCCACGCGACCACGGAGAGAACACACAAACTCTGAAGTTATGTATGTTGAACTTCTTTCTCACCGTACGTAGCTAAATGTGCTAATCGGAGGTGCGGGGGAAGGAAAACCAACTAATCACTAAAGAGCAGTTCAAATAAAGTGAGTTCGTCAATCTAGACGATGATTTAAAAGTGCACGGCTTCAGTGGCTTCCTAATATCAGAAAAAAGAGCGTTCCAGACGGCCGCAGGCGTCAGGGTCCGGATCAAACCCACGACCTCCTGCATACCAGGCGAGGTAGTTAACATGTCGGGAGATGTGATGCTGCGACCCACCCCATGGAGCATGGCCTCTTGCCAGCTTCCGATTGCTGAACGAATACAAATGAACAGCAATCACTCGCTGATCTCATTGAGGACCGGTCGTCATCCTCGCAGCAGCAGCAGCGGCTTCTGGCTCAGCCGCCAAACAAAGATGGTGGTCGCTGCATCGCGCAACGCTGTCAGATTTCCTTCTGCGGCCGTCTGGAACGCTTTTTCCTTCCGAAATTAGGAAGCCACTTTTAAATCATCATCTATATTGACGAACTCATTTATTTTTAACTGCTTGTTGTTGTTCTTGTTGTCTTTCAGTTTGTTGTACTTTCCTTCCGCACCTCCGATTACCGCGGTTGGCCTAGTGTGGTGTAAAATAACTTCAATATACACACGTAGACACGGCGCAGCGCTACGGAGCCCAGCGACCCGAGTTCGAGTCCCACTCGCGACCAGCAACAGTGGCGAACATTCGAACCGGCCCTGGGCCCTCCCCTAGGTCGCTTTAGCAAAAAATGAGTGCCCTGGTGCGGTGCGCAGTAAACATCGCCACTGTCTGCGGCTGACGATGCTGCGTGGGTGACTATGATGACGATGACGAAGATCATGACACGCGTGGTATTAACCAGGGCAGCCGCGGGGCTCGAACCGCGGACCTCTGCAAGAGAGAGTGGAAGAACGCTATCACTCAGCTGTTGTCCTCCCACACTGGGCGATCCCTTCTGTGCCCCCCCCCCCCCACTGCCCCCCACTCCCATAGGCCCCACAGACAGCGGCGCGGTGGCAGGCGGAGTGATTGGAGGGTTGCTGGGCGGAGTGGCGTTAGCCGCTGGGGGCTTCTTCCTCTACAAGAAGCGGAACCAGCTGTACGTGTGGGTGGTTGGGGGGAGAACGCAACGCACATACACACGCACACACAAAGACACACAATAACAACAAGAACCGCCATTCGCCACTAGGTGGTGGTGATGTCACCACGACGCTTGTGCCAGGCCATGTGCACCTTGAGGCCACGCGAAGTGTCGAACGCCAGCTGGCAGGTCACGGGGCAGACCCAGGTGCCACGGGTCGACTGACTGAGATGACTGGCAGATGCACCACCTGTGCCCCCTACTGTGCCAACTTGCTGTGCTTTAGTCACCCGGCGCTCCGCTCATTGTTGTGAGAGTCACTCCTCCGCCCTCTGTTGTTGTTGGAGGGCCACTGCCTCCAACTGCCCCGTAGCGCCCTTCACGAGCCTCCACTGAGGCCAATCTTGACACCGCTGGTACCAGTCATCGGCAAGACCACTCAGCTCCACGTCCTCCTGTACCACATCACTCCATCTCTTCTCCAGCCCGTGCTGCGCCCGTTTAGTCCCCTCGATCCGACCGAACAAAACCTGTTTAGGCATTCGGTGGCTGGGCATGCGGGCTACATGACCCAGCAACACACATGCACACACACACGCACACACAAAGACAAGGATCTCTCCCCTGTGGCCTTAGCGGGCTGCGGGGGCAAGTGCCGTTCGTGGTAGTGAGTTGCAGCGGCACCCAAGAAGGCTGGCAAAGACGCACGAGGCGAGTGGGTGGCCAGCACGACGTTCCCGGTCGCCTTTGTCTCCCCGGTGGCGATGTTCACTACACACTGCACTGGGTTCTCATTTGAGGCTGAGTCGGCCTAGGGGAGGCCCAGGACCGGTTCAGGTAATCGGCGGCCGCGTTGGCCGTGAGTGGGATTCAAACTCTGGTCGACTGATACACAGCGCAGTGCGCTAACCGATACATGATCAGGGAATGCACACAAAGACATAAACACACATTTTACACTTACATGCACAGACATACACGCACAACAACAACAACGTAAGTGGCGGTAACATCACCGCAGCGCTTGTGCCACGTGACATGTGAAAGGCTCGCCGTTGGCAGGAGGAGGTCAGGTATTATGAGCTGACTGCTGTGCCAGGCTGGGTGCAGGAGTTCACGGGACAGACCCAGCAGGTGCCATGGGTTGACTGCTGTGCCAGGCTAGGTGCAGGAGGTCACGGGACCTACCCAGGCGCCATGGGTTTACTGCTGTGTCAGGCTAGGTGCAGGAGGTCACGGGACAGACACAGCAGGTGCCATGGGTTGACTGCTGTGTCAGGCTAGGTGCAGGAGGTCACGGGACAGACCCAGCAGGTGCCATGGGTTGACTGCTGTGTCAGGCTAGGTGCAGGAGGTCACGGGACAGACACAGCAGGTGCCATGGGTTGGCTGCTGTGCCAGGCTGGGTGCAGGAGGTCACGGGACAGACACAGCAGGTGCCATGGGTTGACTGCTGTGCCAGGCTGGGTGCAGGAGGTCACGGGACAGACACAGCAGGTGCCATGGGTCGACTGCTGTGTCAGGCTGGGTGCAGAAGGTCACGGGACAGACACAGCACGTGCCATGGGTTGACTGACCGAGATGGCTGGCAGACGCACCACCACCTGTGCCCCACCCCTCACCCCCGCCCGCGACTGTGCCAAGTCGCTGCGCTTCCATCGTCGGTTATTAAGGAGACGCTAATGTTGGCGCGGGGTCTTCGTCTCTCTCTCTTCACAGGCAGAAGGGATCAAAGTCAAACAGGTAAATGGTGTCCCCGCCCCCACCTCCTGCCTGCCACTGCAACACAGAGGTCGCAAACGGGTTTTGATTCCTTACCCATACCCGTACCCAGCTGCACCAGGGTCGCAAACGGGTACCCATATTGTTTGTTGTTGTCACATTGTGACCCTTTGTGCCCCTCTACTGGGCGTCTGTGGGAAAAAAGAGCTTTACAGCTCATCGGATTCCTCGAGTCTAGATTCATCATTACGCTTTTTTAATTTGTATTCTTTAAAAAAAATAATTTAACGTATTTTTTAATTTTTCTGATCTTTGTATATCTTTCGAATCACGGCGCAAATCCATTAGGAAATTTCAGTGAGCGTTCCGCATCGTAATGATGGTGAAGCATTCCACGTTGTAACAATGGTGAAGCGTTCCACGTTGTAACAATGGTGAAGCGTTCCGCATTGTAACAATGGTGAAGCGTTCCATGTTGTAACAATGGTGAAGCGTTCCGCATTGTAACAATGGTGAAGCGTTCCACGTTGTAACAATGGTGAAGCGTTCCGCATTGTAACAACAGTGAAGCGTTCTGCATTGTAACAACAGTGAAGCGTTCCGCGTTGTAACAATGGTGAAGCGTTCCGCGTTGTAACAATGGTGAAGCGTTCCGTGTTGTAACAACAGTGAAGCGTTCTGCATTGTAACAATGGTCAAGCGTTCCATGTTGTAACAATGGTGAAGCGTTCCGCGTTGTAACAATGGTGAAGCGTTCCGCGTTGTAACAATGGTCAAGCGTTCCGCGTTGTAACAATGGTCAAGCGTTCCGCGTTGTAACAATGGTGAAGCATTCCGCGTTGTAACAATGGTGAAGCGTTCCGCGTTGTAACAATGGTCAAGCGTTCCACGTTGTACAATGGTGAAGCGTTCCACGTTGTAACAATGGTGAAGCATTCCGCGTTGTAACAATGGTGAAGCATTCCGCGTGGTAACAATGGTCAAGCGTTCCACGTTGTACAATGGTGAAGCGTTCCTCGTTGTAACAATGGTGAAGCGTTCTGCGTTGTAACAATGGTGAAGCATTTCACGTTGTAACAATGGTGAAGCGTTCCGCGTTGTAACAATGGTGAAGCGTTCCATGTTGTAACAATGGTGAAGTGTTCCGCGTTGTAACAATGGTGAAGCGTTCCACGTTGTAACAATGGTGAAGCGTTCCACGTTGGAACAATGGTGAAGCGTTCCGCGTTGTAACAATGGTGAAGCGTTCCATGTTGTAACAATGGTGAAGTGTTTTGCGTTGTAACAATGGTAAAGCGTTCTACGTTGTAACAATGGTGAAGCGTTCCGCGTTGTAACAATTGTGAAGCGTTCCGCGTTGTAACAATGGTGAAGCGTTCCGCGTTGTAACAATGGTGAAGCGTTCCGCGTTGTAACAATGGTGAAGCGTTCCACGTTGTAACAATAGTGAAGCGTTCTATGTTGTAACAACGGTGAAGCATACCACGTTGTAACAATGGTGAAGCGTTCCGCGTTGTAACAATGGTGAAGCGTTCCATGTTGTAACAATGGTGAAGTGTTTTGCGTTGTAACAATGGTGAAGCGTTCTACGTTGTAACAATGGTGAAGCGTTCCGCGTTGTAACAATAGTGAAGCGTTCCACGTTGTAACAATGGTGAAGCGTTCCACGTTGTAACAATGGTGAAGTGTTCCGCGTTGTAACAATGGTGAAGCGTTCCGCATTGTAACAATGGTGAAGCATTCTGCGTTCTAACAATGGTGAAGCGTTCTGCGTTGTAACAATGGTGAAGCATTCCACGTTGTAACAATGTTGAAGCGTTCCACGTTGTAACAATGGTGAAGCGTTCCGCGTTGTAACAATGGTGAAGCATTCCACGTTGTAACAATGGTGAAGCGTTCCACGTTGTAACAATGGTGAAGCGTTCCACATTGTAACAATGGTGAAGCGTTCCGTGTTGTAACAATGGTGAAGCATTCCAAGTTGTAACAATGGTGAAGCATTCCGCGTTGTAACAATGGTGAAGCGTTCCGCGTTGTAACAATGGTGAAGCATTCCGCGTTGTAACAATGGTGAAGCATTCCACGTTGTAACAATGGTGAAGCATTCCACGTTGTAACAATGGTGAAGCATTCCACGTTGTAACAATGGTGAAGCATTCCGCGTTGTAACAATGGTGAAGCGTTCCGCATTGTAACAATGGTGAAGCATTCCACGTTGTAACAATGGTGAAGCATTCCACGTTGTAACAATGGTGAAGCGTTCCGCGTTGTAATGATGGTGAAGCATTCCGCATTGTAACAACGATGAAGCGTTTCGCGTTGTAATGATGGTGAATCATTCCGCATTATAACAACGTTGGGTATTCCGTGTTATAACAACGGCGAGTGTTCCACATTATAACAATTATTGGTCAACCCTTAGAAATCTCAACGTTCATCCTACAAAGTCCCATCATTACAAGGGAGAAACAGAAACAAGTAGACACAAATTATTTTGCCTTTATTGAAACGGCTAAAATTCCGTATGGACCTGAAAACTCAATTTCCCTCGTACAAGAATACGGGGTAAGACCGTATGGGTTTAGACGGATATATTGCGATGCCACCGTTAACTGGGGGACCGCTCTCTTTCACTTATGCACGTACATATATTGATAGATTCCAAATGCGCTTTGCAGCTGTGCCCACCCCACCACCCGTTCCCAACCATTGCATTGAATTTTGTCGCGCGCGCACGCTTGCAGAACGTAGCCTCTTTGTTTCACTTGTGCTTGTCTAAAAGCCTACCCCACCTACCCCCCCCGTGCGTTTGCCGCGGCTACCACCGAATTTCCTTCTACCCGAGTGTAACGCCGCCACCACCGCCACTGCCTTCGCTGCCTCCCCCTCCGCTTCCCCCTCTGACTTGTATCGTCGCAGGAATGGAATATCGTCATTGCGGGCCAGCAGACTCCAACCGGCACCCTATAAACCCAGGTGAGACCTCCACAGCCTTGCCACAAGGCACAAACAAGGCACAAAGACAAAGAATACCCCCCCCTTCCCCCCGGAGTAGCCTTAACGGGACCGTTGAGGCAAGCGCTGTTCGTCGTGAGTGCCAGCACCTACGAAGGCCGGCGCTCTGGCACGCGATGGGGTTGGTGGGTGGCTGGCAACGCGCCCGCCCGGCCTTCTTTGTCTCTGCCAGCTGCGATATTTACTACACATCACACTGGGTACTGACTTGAGGCTGAGTCGACCTAGAGGGGAGGCCCAGGACCGGTTCCGATGATTGTCGCCGGTGTTGGCCTCGAGCGGGCATCGAGCTCGGGTCGCCGGGGTCGTAGCGCAGCGCTAAACGCGATGCAGCCTGCCAAACGCACGCGCACGCACACACAACACACGGTGCACGAATGTAAGCAAGCAAAATGAATGAAAGGCGAAAGGAAGGGGGAAAAAAAGACGTCAATTCTCGAGCGCGCCGCACAATCCGCTGCAAGAGCGGTGGCTGCTGTACGGGGCAGAGATTGGCTGCGACCAGAGGTCGCAAACGGGTTTTGATTCCTTACCCGTACCCTGTACCCGGCCGCATCAGGCTCGCAAATGGGTACCCGTACCCGGCCGGGTATGGGTAGCCGTTCCCTACCCGTACCCTACCCGAAATGAGTGACAAACGGCTACTCACCAGTGACTCACGGCCTACCCGTACCCGGCCGCACCAGGGTCGCAAACGGCTACCCGTACCCGTACCCGGTCGGGTACGGGTAGCCGGGTATCGGGTAGGGTACGGGTGTCGGGTACCCGGTTGCGACCTCTGGCTGCGACCGCGCTGGCAGCGTGGAGACGCAGCGATCGGCAAAGGCTGCATCTGTTTTGCCCGACGGATTCTGCCTTCAAACTTTTTGGCATTGCGACGCTCGATTGCGGTCCAAGAATTAAAATAATGAACGCAACAAGCTCAGACGTCGCCAATGTGCGAGCCCTCCCCCGGTTCTACGCGGAGCGCGGATTTCGTCTCCGGGTCCTCCTCCGGTTTTTCCCCTCCACGTTCAGAATCGACGTCTCTGCGTGTATCAGAGCATTTGGCTGCTGCTGCTGCAAATGTCCACGTGACGATGGTGATGATGATATCGGCCATTTTGTTAAAGCTGTCATGACGTGTGGCCCGGTCGCTTCTGAAAAAGAGCTATGTAGCTCAGTGGGTCTTACCTGGTAAAAACAAATAGAGTTTATTAGTCTGGGTGGGTGGGTGAGAGACTGTCTGAGTGAGTGAGTGAGTGGATGGGTGATTGGGTGAGTGAGTGGAAGGGTGAGTTAGAGGTGAGTGAGTGATTGGGTGTTGTGAGTGAGTGGGTGAGTGAGTGGATGGGCGATTGGGTGAGTGAGTGGAAGGGTGAGTTAGAGGATGTGTCAGGGAGTTAGTTGATGGGTTAGTGAGAGAGTGGGTGAGTGCGAGTGAGTGGGTGTGTGAGTGAGTGGGAGAGTGAATGGATGGGTGATTGGATGAGTGAGTGCATGGGTGAGTGAGTTAGTGAAAGAATGTGTCAGTTGATGGGTGAATAAGAGAGTGTGCGAGTGAGTGGGTGAGAGTGCATGAATGGTTGGGTGATTGGGTGAGTGAGTGAGTTGATGGGTGTGCGGTTGAGAGAATGGGTGAGTGGATGACAGAGTGAGAGTGAGTGAGTGTTGGCCGTGATTTTCCTTACGCTGAGTCCCAAGTAGTTCAGAGGTGAGGTGCTCACGAACGGCACTTGCTCCTCCGATGGTGTATTAAGGGCTCCACAAGAGAGTGTGGAGTAGTGATCTTTGTTTTTTGTCACAGCCCTGTGTTCGCCACTCAGTTCGAGACTCACGTGAAGGAGCTGAGCCAAGATTCCAACTACTTATACTCCTTGGAATTCGAGGTGGGTAGGTCGTTACGCGAGCGGAAGAACCACAGATACGGCCGTACACATTGTGTTCAGCCGCCACACTGCAGGTCACAACAACACACACACTCACCCGCTCAGCCACTCACCACACTGCAGGTCACAACAACACACACACTCACCCGCTCAGCCACTCACCACACTGCAGGTCACAACAACTCACCCGCTCAGCCACTCACCACACTGCAGGTCACAACAACACACACACTCACCCGCTCAGCCACTCACCACACTGCAGGTCACAACAACTCACCCGCTCAGCCACTCACCACACTGCAGGTCACAACAACACATACACTCACCCGCTCAGCCACTCACCACACTGCAGGTCACAACAACACACACACTCACCCGCTCAGCCACTCACCACACTGCAGGTCACAGCAACCCACACACTCACCCGCTCAGCCACTCACCACACTGCAGGACACAGCAACACACACACTCACCCGCTCAGCCACTCACCACACTGCAGGTCACAACAACACACACTCACCCGCTCAGCCACTCACCACACTGCAGGTCACAACAAGACACACACTCACCCGCTCAGCCACTCACCACACTGCAGGTCACAGCAACACACACACTCACCCGCTCAGCCACTCACCACACTGCAGGTCACAGCAACACACACACTCACCCGCTCAGCCACTCACCACACTGCAGGTCACAACAAGACACACACTCACCCGCTCAGCCACTCACCACACTGCAGGTCACAGCAACACACACACTCGCCCGCTCAGCCACTCACCACACTGCAGGTCACAGCAACACACACACTCACCCGCTCAGCCACTCACCACACTGCAGGTCACAACAAGACACACACTCACCCGCTCAGCCACTCACCACACTGCAGGTCACAACAACACACACACTCACCCGCTCAGCCGCTCACCACACTGCAGGTCACAACAACTCACCCGCTCAGCCACTCACCACACTGCAAGTCACAACAACACACACACTCACCCGCTCAGCCGCTCACCACACTGCAGGTCACAACAACTCACCCGCTCAGCCACTCACCACACTGCAGGTCACAACAACACACACACTCACCCGCTCAGCCACTCACCACACTGCAGGTCACAACAACTCACCCGCTCAGCCACTCACCATACTGCAGGTCACAACAACACACACACTCACCCGCTCAGCCACTCACCACACTGCAGGTCACAACAACTCACCCGCTCAGCCACTCACCACACTGCAGGTCACAACAACACACACACTCACCCGCTCAGCCACTCACCACACTGCAGGTCACAACAACTCACCCGCTCAGCCACTCACCACACTGCAGGTCACAGCAACCCACACACTCACCCGCTCAGCCACTCACCACACTGCAGGACACAGCAACACACACACTCACCTACTCAGCCACTCACCACACTGCAGGTCACAACAACTCACCCGCTCAGCCACTCACCACACTGCAGGTCACAGCAACACACACACTCGCCCGCTCAGCCACTCACCACACTGCAGGTCACAGCAACACACACACTCACCCGCTCAGCCACTAACCACACTGCAGGTCACAACAACACACACACTCACCCGCTCAGCCACTCACCATACTGGAGGTCACAACAACACACACACTCACCCGCTCAGCCACTCACCACACTGCAGGTCACAACAACTCACCCGCTCAGCCACTCGCCGCACTGCAGGTCACAACAACATACACACTCACCCGCTCAGTCACTCACCATACTGCAGGTCACAACAACACACACACTCACCCACTCAGCCACTCACCACACTGCAGGTCACAACACACACACTCACCCGCTCAGCCACTCACCACACTGCAGGTCACAACAACTCACCCGCTCAGCCACTCACCACACTGCAGGTCACAACAACATACACACTCACCCGCTCAGCCACTTACTCACCCGCTCAGCCACCCACCACACCGCAGGTCACAACAACACACTCAGCTACACACTCACTAACCCAGCCACTCTCAACACACCGCAGGCCACGACATTTGCGTCTCTCTGCTTCTTAGCTCCCGCCGCTCCACCTTGGAATCCCCTCCCATTGTCGCCGCTCTTCCCAAATCCTTTTGCTCACCCTCGCCCAAATGATGAAACGCATTTAAAGTTATTCATCGATCACGACTTGGCGCATCGGTGGAGCGCACGCAGCAGCGGCGGCATCGCCCCCTGCGACTGCAAACGCTTGGCAGGGTCCTCCTAAAAAAGAGTCTCGAGACTCCGACGAGGTTCTCCTGGCTTCATGAAAGAGCAGAATAAGGGGCGCCGCGGTGGCTAGGAGATGTTAACTCCCTCGCCTGGTATGCGGGAGGTTGGGGGTTCGATCCCGACCCCTGACGCCTGCTGCTGTATATTTGGAATTTGCGTCTCTCATCATCATCATCATCATCACTGTGGCTCGGAGATGTTAAATACCTCGCCTGGTATGCAGGAGGTCGTGGGTTTGATCTTGACGCCTGCTGCTATACATTTGGAGTTTGCGTCTCTCTCATCATCATCATCATCACTGTGGCTCGGATATGTTAAATACCTCGCCTGGTATGCGGTAGTTGGGGGTTCGATCCCGACCCTAACGCCTGCTGCTGTACATTTGGAGTTTGCTTCTCTCTCATCATCATCATCATCACGGTGGCTCGGAGATGTTAACTACCTCGCCTGGTATGCGGGAGGTTGGGGGTTCGATCCCGACCCTGACGCCTGCTGCTGTATATTTGGAGTTTGCGTCTCTCATCATCATCATGGTGGCTAGGAGATGTTAACTACCTCACCTGGTATGCGGGAGGTTGGGGGTTCGATCCCGACCCTGACGCCTGCTGCTGTTATAGTCTGTCGCCGGGTACAGGAAGGTGTGGAGCACCACTACTCAACACGCTGCCGCCGTGACCCTCAGAGGGACAAGCGGACTGAGAAATGAATGAACGAATGAACGATAACAAATGCACAATGCACGTCTCCCACAGCACCTGAAGGAGAAGGGAAAAAATCAGTCGAAGGACATGGCCCGATTGCCGCAGAACGCTCCCAAGAACCGCTACGCCAACATCTTGCCGTGTGAGTCTTCCTTGCGCACTCCACGTCCGCTCACCGCGTCGCCATCGCGTGGCTCTCGAACGCTCCTCGCGTCCGATGATGGGAAGCCACTGGTGAGCTATTTACGGCGCACTTTGGAATCATCGTCTAGGGTTGACAAGCTCATTCTCGTTGCGACTGCTTCTTGTGCGTGTTAGTTTGGTTGGCTACAGTTTTAAATGGAGATGATTTAAAGGTGCATAGCTCCCAGCGGCTTCTTAATATCGAAAGGACGAGGCCCACAGAGTTCCAGAGGCTCATATAGAACCATAGAGACCCACGGAACCCCACGGAGACTAATAGAGACACCTTAGTCATTTGTATCTATGTATGTTAAACCTCCCTCCCTCCCCTCCCTCCCCCAGACGATCACAACCTCGTTCCACTCAACAAGAGTGGGGGGTCCAACTACATCAACGCAAGCTTCATCTCCGTGAGTCAGCAGTCCGACCGGTGTCCACTCAACCCCTACCGGGTTGAGGAGGCTACAAACTTCACTGGAATGCGATGGAAATGGATTCATCATCATCATCATCAGTGGCAGTGCTCTATTATTAGTGTAGGGCGCCATAGACTCATACAAAGACCCAACAGACCTACACGGAGACCTACAGGCTGGTATTGGTGGTTATGAGGTTATGGCGCTTTAATGATGCTGCTGCAGTTCTTCCTGAAGTGACACTGATGGTTTGATGATGATGGTGGTGACGATGATGATAACGTCGATGGTGATGAGGATGATAGGATATTTATCATGTTATTTTTCTGCCTCTTAAAGACATTTGTTATTGATGATTATGGTCAATCACAATAGTGATGACAATAACAATAGTGATGGCAACAATACTCGTGACAATGATGACGACGATGGCCATGATGACGATGACAATGACAGTACTGATGATGACTATGATGATGACGATGACCATGATGATGATGACCATGATGACTATAACCATGACGATGACCATAACCATGATGACTATGACCATGATGATGATCATGATGATGACAATGATGATGACAGTACTGATGATGACTATGATGATGACGATGACCATGATGATGATGACCATGATGATGATGATGACTATGATGATGACGATGACCATGATAATGATGATCATGATGACTATGACCATGACCATGATGACAATGATGATGACAGCACTCATGATGACGATGACCATGATGACGATGATCATCCTCTGCTCAGGGCTACAGCCGCACGCGCGAGTACATCGCCACGCAGGGCCCCAAGGAGGACACGGTGGCTGACCTCTGGCAAATGGTGTGGGAGCAGAACGTGTACACCATCGTCATGCTCACCGGCGTCATGGAAGGAGGACGGGTGAGAGAGCGAGCGAGAGAGAGCGTGCAAGAGAGAGAGAGAGTGCGAGAGAGATCAAGAGAGAGTGAGAGAGAGTGAGAGAGAGAGTGTTGTATATGTTGGGTATGAAAATTTGTTATGTTGTATGCGTGCGTGGGTGAAATTATTATGTTGTATATGTGGGTTATGGATATTCAGTGGAAATAATAATAATTAAATGAAATTTGGCCAAATGTGTAATTATCCGGAAATATGTTAATTTATGTAATTACGCACATTTTAATTATGCCAATTCGAGAGGTAATCGTATTAATTATGCGAGTGGGTGTAATTATGATAACGCAAGTCGTTATGATAACCAGACCCCGGTTCACCCCGTTATCGCTTTAACATTTACTGAGTATGTATTAGTGTGTTTATTAAGGTCACCAAGTTCAAATCTCAACGCAGAAGCAGATCTTATGCATAGATTTCAGGAAAGAATCACACAACCACTTCTGTATTGATCAATTTATTACTAATTCAACCTTAACTATGATATAGTATGCGAACTCTCAATCCCTGAACGTCAAAACGGCATCAATACAGTATCATCAACGATTGTCTGATTTCACTTTGACAACGGCACATGGATCCCGCATAACGCGATGGTTGTTAGTGAGAGAGAGAGTCGTTAAAACATGCAAATACTATGCTAAGAAAACCTTAACGTTAATGAATGATTATACTCAATATTGTTCACGCAGTACCGCACTCCTTATTGATCATACGCAACCCTTATCACGTTGTTAGCACCTTGGGTCACGGAACAGTTGAATATTCTGTAGAGGATGCGAGTACGTGCGGCGATTATGACTGAAAGATACTTGAAAGATTATACGGCGATAAAAAAAAAAACACAATCAAAAACAGTTATTATTCTTAAAGGCACCAATCTCAACAGATACATTGGCAGGTTATCTCAGAACGGCTCGGAGTAAGGGCCTGCGACGGTGCTCCTTTCCGAAGATTGTTATCTTATACCAAGTTTACTAATTGGGGACCAGATCACCTGATAAGGATCCGGTGGGCCACCACTCCCCACGTGAGCGTGGCTCGGCGGAAGGAGGTGCCAAGAATCAGTTCGTATTGATGGATCTGTTGGGAATTTATGCGATTAAGAGTACAGCCCACTAAATATTAAAGATAAAAATTAAGAATACTCTTATAAACGACGGAGGGCTATCCTTCGGTCTCGTTGTGATGCTTTCCAGCCACGGATGGCTTATGGGTTCGAGTGTTTTTGAGTGGTAAGAGTTGTCTTGAATAGTCAGTGTTCGGAGTCGATTCTTTATGTCAAACAGACGCCTGGTGGTCGTGTGGTGAGGGGGCGGTGCGCGTCATACGTATCAGGCGCTCCCCTGTCACCGTGGTGAATTGGCTCGGATGGCTGTTGATACGCTGTCGCAGTTCGGAACCCGGTCGGTAGGTGGCGCCCACAACTCGCTCGTAGCGTGCAGCGCTGGATCGTCGCCAAGTCGCGACGCTCACCACCGGCGGCAGCGGAGATCTCCGGCGGCAGCAGAGATTGACGAGCTGAAGATGAGTCGAGCCGACCCGCTGGTCGCAGCTCGCTCCTGAGTCGACCCTCCCGGTCGAGCTCGCTCCTGGGTCGACCCGCTGGTCGCCCTCGCTCCTGAGTCGACTCTCTGGTCGCACTCCTGAGTGGACCCGCTCTGGTCGCACTCGTTCCTGAGTCGACCCTCCCGGTCGAGCTTCTGAGTGGACCCTCCCGTCGCACTCGTTCCTGAGTCGACCCTCCCGGTCGAGCTTCTGAGTGGACCCTCCCGTCGCACTGGTTTCCAATGCTCAGGATCCTTTACTTTATGCCGAAAATTCCCCCTGGATCCCGCCCACAAGGCGGGGCTTCTTCCGATTTTTGCTGTGTCAGGATCTGTCCGTAGGCAGGTGTGTCCATGTGTCTGTCCGTATGTCCGTGTGTCCTTGTGTGCATCACTGACGGTATATTCGTTGTCACACTCCCTCCATAAAACCCACGAGCAAACAATCAGATGTTACAAATTGCCTCGAAGTCGTCTCTCTGTCTGGGTGCAATATTATCTCTTGTCTGGCCGTCTTCATGACCCAAAACACAGACGTTACAAATCGTCTCATAGGCGTCTTTGTTCGTGTTGCACAACCTGGAGGGAGGGGCAACACTCTCTCCGACCCGGCGCACAAAGAAATGGTTAAAAAGTTTTAAGTTAACATTTGTCCCTTACTATTTCACAGTTATGATTCTGTATGTAACCTAAGGTCTGTCGTTTCCCATCGTGGTGCCCGACCCAAGTGTAGGTGTTTCCCCGAGCGTACACACACTCCTATCCCGCGCTGCGGGGATACAAAGACGGCCGGGATCTCCCTTTCTCTCCGACCCTGGGTTTAACATCGTTGTTTTTTTTTATTATGTATTATATTCGACCTGGTTGTGATTCATCCCGTTATCCTGGCTTTTCCATAAGTTTTACTTTGTCATTTCATGCATATACTTATTACTATTAATTTATTTCCGATATCTTAGGTTAAGGGGTAAGTTTCTTGATCCTAGGAATTCGTATTCCTTGGTGCCTGGATGGTTATATAAGCGGAATATAGTTTACGGTGAATAGCGTTAACATTGATGTTATGTGCGATATTATGTATTGTGATGTCTTTAACTTAACTTGTTTGTCAGGGCTTTACTGACACGAAGTTGCATTCCATAGCCCGCAGTCTTTGCCCCACCCTATCTCTGCTCGCCGTTGTTGTTGCCTGCCGTTAATTCAAGGCCTCATTAATTTCCGTCCCTCCTGAGTAGGTGAGGGCGGTTGAACCTTGGAGTCAGTTCTGGTTTTTGTCTGCCTGCTTCTTCTTGTGTCCCCTGACCCCGGGAGTTATTATTCTACTTTATGGCCTGTCGAAGCCCCACTCGCTGTTGCTGGGCTGGTGTTGTTCCCGGCTTTTGCTTACGTTTGCAGTTCGCCGTGCTCTTGATTTCCTTCCCTCTTCAACCTTATATTGACTATTCGCTCCTGTCTGGGTGCGATTCAATTTTGACTTAGGAAGGTTCTGATTGTCATATGCTTCGGGTCGAATTGTATAGAAAGTATTGAAGTATGGAAATAACATTTCATATTGACTTAATAATGGTGATGGTTCAGTAGGCGTAACTTGTGGCCTGGTTTAATTGGAGTGGGTGTGAATATCGATAACTTTAGCCTACCCTGTTGTTAAATTCCGACTTTAACGTTACTTTAATAGCAATACAGAATAATTGAGCTTTTTGTCTTAACTAGGCGAATGCGAACTTCTGGTGACCCCGCAGCCTTGTTGTTCAGCTGGGTCTGCCTCCTTGAGAGATATACACCACTCTTATTCTCGTCTCACTGTGGTCATCCAACCTTCTGCTCTGGGAGTGTTATTCTTACTTTCAGGTCAAAGGCCCCCTCACGTTCAGACGTGCAGGGTTGTTTACATCAGCCCCCCCCCTGTGCACGTGTTCTAACTAGCTCGGAATCCCTGAACACACAATCAGTGATGATTCCTGGCTTTCTGTGGTTGTGATTTAGACAAAGGCGCCTCTGTTTCTTCCATTGCCTTTGAGTCGACACTGCCCTATTATTTGCCCATGTGCTGAGGTCATAGAATTCGTTTTGACTTCAGTAATATTAACATTCAGTATTGGATTAGCAAATGGGCAATGGTTCATTTATGTAGCTCGCAGCCTGGTCTCCAATTTGAGCGAGCGCGAGGATCGGTAATTTAGCCTACTCTGTTGTTGAATTTCGAATTTTGACGTTACTTTAAAACCATGCAGGATGGTTGGGCTTTTTGCCTTAACTATGTCTGGCTGACACTCCCACTGTCTCTGCCGCCTGCACGGGTGACATGTGCCCGTTCATCAGGCCTTATCTTTCCTTGAAGCAAGGTTGCAAATTCTGCCATCCTAGCCCTCCTCCAGTTCATTACTTAACAACACCTGGTGTTTTGCAGTTTGCTGCGCTTGGTGTGTTTCAATCATTAAAAAAAACAAGTAAAAAGATAATATATAAAAATCATCAAATATTATTAATCTCAATTATGGAAGAAGGGTTAGGATACAACAAGAGTAAGCAAGAGAGAGAGAGTGAGCAAGTGAGCAAGAGAGCACGATAGAGAGAGTGAGCACGAGAGCGTGAGAGAGAGTGAGAGAGAGCGAGAGAGAGTGAGAGAGAGAGAGCGTGCGTGAGAGAGTAAGCAAGAGAGACAGCGAACAAGAGAGTGAGCAAGATAGAGAGTGTGAGAGAGCGAGAGAGACCTTTTGACTTTCTAAATCACTTTGATTGCCAAAGCACTGGAGCCAATTGCGAGACAAAGTCATATCGATCACACCGTCACGTCGCAAAACCACGACCCGCGCGAAACACAATCGGCGCGTCGTCGCCGCCACGCTCGTTAGAACGCAAAACGCAGAACGCCATCCGCACAGGTGTAGAGGTCTTGACCGGCCCCCCCTCACCCCCCCCCCCGCACCGCCGCCATTTAAAGAACCACGGGCGCGCGTCGCCCGCAATCGGAGCCGCGCGCTTTGAGCGCGTCCCCCGAACATTGTCGCCGCTCAGCAGACGTCGGTGTCGCCCTGCAGCTGAGAGGAGGTTGCTCGATGATGCCGCAGGGGGAGGTGGGGAGGGGGGTGGGGGCGGCTGCTGCTGTTTGCGAGCACCTGTTTAGGCTCGCCTGGGCGGGGTCAGAGGTCACAGGCGAACGGACCGCCAACAGCCGAGAATCTCAGGATTTCAGGGAGCTCGTGATCAATAAAGGGGTTCTCTCGTGTGGTTAGCCAGAGTCTCAGCCGTGTCACCAGTGACTCGCGCGGAGAGATGTAGGTTCACAGACCTGCACAGAGACTCATAGACATGCGTAGTGACCCACGGACTTGGATAGGGCCCCATAGACATACGGAGAGACCCATAGACCTACATAGACTGATTGGTGATTAAATTGGTTTCTCATGCGTAGTGTGTTGAGGGTCTCAGCCTGGTCACCAGTGACTCACATGGAGACCCATAGACTCACATGGAGACCAATAGACTCACATGGAGATCTATAGACTCACACGTAGATCCATAGACTCATACGGAGACCCGTAGACTCACAGGGAGACCCGTAGACTCACACAAGGACCCCTAGACTCACACAGAGACCCGTAGACTCACACACAGACCTGTAGACTCACAACGAGACCCACAGACTCACGCGGAGACCCACAGCCTCACGCGGAGACCCATAAACTCATAAAGTCACCATTGACGCCAAATACAACTGTGACCGTGACATTAAATTATCTTTGCTCCGCCCATCTCTCCCCCCCCCCCCGCCTACCCCCAACTCCCACATTCCACACGGCAGGAGAAATGCGCCAAGTACTGGCAGGACGACATGGAGCCCCATTTTCAGGGTGACCTGGTGCTGCGGAAGGTGTCCGAGACCGTTCTGGACGACTGGACAATACGCAACCTCCAGATCTACTCGGTGCGCGGTGCAATCGCGCACGCAGTCAGCGACACGCGCACACACACACACACACACCGGGGTACACACGCGACTGGGGTACACACATACTCTTTGGTTCTTTCAGATAAAGTCACGTAGGTAGAAAAATAATAGATTACGACGTTTCGATCGCAACGCAAGCAATCGTCATTAGTGGGACAAACACAGCAAGGAAAAACTGCAAGTAAAAACTGCTGCGGTTGTCCCACCTGATGACAATTGCTTGCGTTGCGATTGAAACGACGTGACTTTACCGAAAGAACCAAAAAGTATGGATTCCTGCAGTCACGAAAGCTTCAAATCAAGATTGGGGTACACACGTACACAAAGACAAAGATCCCCAATGTAGCCTTAACAGACTGTTGGGGTAAGTGCTGGTAGCGAGCACCTATGGAGGCCAGAATGGCACACGAGGGGGTGGGTTGCCAGCACCACGCCCGGCCGCCTTTGTCTCCCTAGTAGCGACTTTTTTACGCACTGCACCAGGTATTCATTTGAGGCTGAGTCGACCTCGGGGGGAGGCCCCAGGAACGGTTCAGATAATCGTCACTGATGTTGGCCGTGAGCGGGAATCGAACCCGGGTCGCCAGGTTAGTAGCGCAGCATAGCGCTAACCGCTGCACCACTGCTGCACCACCGCTCCCCACACGCACGCACTGGGGTACACACACCCATAATTAATACGTATGCACTCTGAACTTCGTTTGCATCGCACGTAGCAACCCACGCTAATCGAAGGCGGTGGTCCCAGTCGCGTCGCGCGCGAGAGACCTAACGCCCCGGCCGTGACCCAGAGGTCGCAAACGGGTTTTGATTCCTTACCCGTACCCGGCCGCACCAGGGTCGCAAACGGGTACCCGTACCCGGCTGTACCCGTACCCTACCCGTACCCGGCCGGGTACGGGTCGTGTACGGGTATCGGGTACCCGATTGCAACCTCTGGGATGAAGCCATGTTGCAGGCGCGGGTGGGTTGATTCTAGGAACTTGAATTGTGAGAAGAGACAAGACGTTGGGAAATGAGTGACAAACAGTTACTCACCAAGTGACTCACGGCCTGCCCGTACCCGGCCGCACCAGGGTCGCAAACTCTCCCACTCACTCACTCACCCATCCACTAATTCAGCTACTCACTCACTCACTCACGAACTCACTCACTCACCCACTCATTCACCCACTCACTCACTCACCCACCCACGCACTCACCCACTAATTCAGCTACTCACTCACCCACTCACGAACTCACTCACTCACTCACCCACGCACCCACTCACTCACTCACCCACCCACCCACTAATTCAGCTACTCACTCACCCACTCACGAACTCACTCACTCACCCACGCACCCACTCACTCACTCACCCACTCACACACTCACCCACTCACTCACCCACCCACTCACTCACCCACCAACCAGAGGTCGCAAACGGGTTTTGATTCCTTACCCGTACCCGGCCGCACCAGGGTCGCAAACGGCTACCCGTACCCGGCTGGGTACGGGTAGCCGGGTATCGGGTAGGGTACGGGTATCGGGTACCCGGTTGCGACCTCTGCCGTGACATGTCGCGCGACCGCGCCCGCTCCGTTTCCCCGCCGCGCAGAAAGACGCGGAGACGATGGAGGAGGTGCGCGACATCCGGCAGTTCCACTTCACGGCGTGGCGCGACCACGGCGTGCCCCGCGAACCGCAATCCGTGCTCAAGTTCCTGGAGGTCGTGCGCTCGCACGCCAACAAGTCGCCCCAGAACAGCCTCACGCTCGTGCACTGCAGGTAACGTCGCGAGCGGTCACGGCTGTGGTGGCGGTGGTGGCACGGTGGCGGTAGTGGCACGGTCGCAGGGTAGTGGCGGTGGCACGGTTGCACGGTGGCACGGTGGCGGTGGTGGCAGCGTTGGCACGGTGACACGGTGGCGGCAGTGGCACAGTTAATTGTCACAAACAGCTCTCTATGCCCACTACAGTAATTTTATTTCTTACTGTGGTTGTCCCACCTGATGAAGGTGGGACAACCACAGTATTTAATTTAGTTATTTCTATTTTTTATATTTTTTCACCTACGTGACTTTACCGAAAGAACCAAAGAGTACAGAACCATGTTTTTTTTTGCATGTTCACCACAATACATGTGGTTAATGCATAAATGATTCCTTGCAAATTGTTTCTGTTTGCTGTTTCAACATCTTAACACAACTCCTGTTTTATTATGGCCGGAAAGGGTAAGAGCTACTCTCATATTTTGATACTGGCAAGAAAGGTACCATATTACAACAGCACTTGCCCAACATTCCTGCAAAGTCTTCTTGGTTCTTTCGGTAAAGTCACGTAGAAGGGAAATAATAAAATAATACAAATAACACATAATAAAATAATTCTCACGACGTTTCGGCCACAACGCAAGCAGCCGTCCTCAGGTGAAGAACAGGGCTGTCGGAAAGACAGCGTCTGAATGAACACCACCAGGCTTGGCAGCGTATATTTAAGCTGGGTTGAAGGGGGAAGAGCGCCTTGACAAAGGAATTTGCATATGAAGAGGAATTTAGCATATTTATTATTTCCCTTCTAAGTGACTTTACCGAAAGAACCAAGAAGATGAATCCCTGCAGTCACGAAACCTTTAAATCGAAATTCCTGCGAAACCTATACGAGGAATCTTTGTCTGTGTGCGCGTGTCCGTGCGCAGTGCCGGCGTGGGTCGCACGGGGACGCTGATTGGGCTGGACGTGGCGCTGCAGCAGGTGCAGAAGGAGGACAAGGTGGACGTGTTCCACATCACGGCGCGCATGCGCGAGCAGCGCATGCTGATGGTGCAAACGGAGGTGGGAACCAGCACGCACGCGCGCGCGCACACAAAGGGGCCGTCCATAAATTACGTCACGCACCTGGGGGGGGGGGGGGGGGTCAGACATTTGTGACGATGCGTGACGAGGAGGAGGGGGGGGTTTGAGAAATGTGACGTCACTTAAAAATGCGCAACTTTACTTAAATATAGACAACACGTTCTACTTGATTAAATATACTTTTTAATAACAATGACAATAGTTTAAAGCGATTTGAAGCATGTTTTTTTTGGGGGGGGGGGGAGAGCTTTGTGACGTCATATTTGAGGGGAGGGGGTCTGACTTTTTGTGACGCCACGTGACGAGGGGGGGGGGGTCAAAAACAGTAAAAAGATTGCGTGACGTCATTTATGGACGGCCCCAAACGCACGCGACGACAACGACGACGACACCAACCGCTGTTTTGCCATGAAGTGGCGTTGACATTACCGCAGCGCTTGTGCCAGGCGAGGTGCACTTTTTGAGGCCGGTCACATTTTCAATCTGAGTACAACATTTTGAAGTCCGTGGCTTGGCTCTCCAACACACCGGTGGGTGCTGTGCTAGTGTAATGGCCTCTATACTACACTATACACTACACTCCTATACACTACACTATACGCTACTATACACTACACTATACACTACACTATACACTACACTATACCCTAGTGCTGTACTAGTAACGAATTGGCTACGCTGTGTTTACGTGACAACCCTTACTAATTGGTTGGCTGTGTTGGGTGGTGGCTGGTTTAACGACACATTTATATATTTACACGAACTAACCCCAACAAAAACCTGCATTACGGATGATATTGGTCGCCAAAGCCTACGCGTGAAACAAAAATTTATATTACGAATACATTTTAGGAATCATTTACTAAATGAACAAAAAACGTCTTGGTTCTTTCGGTAAAGTCGTGTAGAAGGGAAATAATAAAATAATAAAACATAATAAAATAATTCTCACGACGTTTCGGCCACAACGCAACGCAAGCAGCCGTCCTCAGGTGAAGAACAGGTCTGTCGGAAAGACAGCGTCGTTATGTTTTATTTTTATTCTTTTATTATTTCCCTTCTACGTGACTTTACCGAAAGAACCAAGAAGATGAATCCCTGCAGTCACGAATGCTTTAAATCGAAAAATGAACAAAAAGTTTAGTAAGCGGAAGCGTTTGAATAGGTTTTTATGGCGTTTAAAAAAAAATGTCCGGGCTCTAGAGACATCCCTGATATCTTATTTGGCTTAACAACGTTTTCGTAACAATAGCCTGATTACTAATCTAGTATATAATTACAATAACCCCCCCCTCAAATCTTTGCACCTGACGAATTAATGAGTTAATGAGTTAATGATGACGTCCCCTGCTGCTGCTGCTCTATATAAGAACGGGAGACACAGCAGAGCCTCACCATTCAGGCGAATTGCCCGATGATGCTGGATGCAATTACCAGCGAAACGTCGTACTCAAATTGTAAATGTTGTGGTTTCACGCTTCAGCACACCTGTGGGCTAAAGCAGTGAACTATTTGTCTTTTGTCAACGTGACACTTTTTTACTGATTGGCCGTGTCGGGTGGTGGAGGGTTACGACACATTTATAAATAACGCGATCTAAACCCAAAAACGTTGATTATGAATCTTATTTGGCGTTCTATAGCCTGGGTGGGCGACACGGGAAAAATCTCGGTCACCCATAGACCGAAAAACCTCGACCTAGAAATGCGGAGAAGATCTGCATCATGCCCAGGTCTTTGGGACCTTCAGGGGACATATGGGTGCAGCATGCAAATGGCGTCGGCTGGGGCGAGATGATTTACTGCTTTGTTAGTTAACAAGAGGATGTAAAGCTTTCGTGACTGCAGGGATTAATCTTCTTGGTTCTTTCGGTAAAGTCACGTAGAAGGGAAATAATAAACAAAACAAAAAAAAATATTTTATGTTTTATTTTTATTATTTTATTATTTCCCTTCTACGTGACTTTACCGAAAGAACCATAAAAATTAACAAGAGGATTTGAAACTGTATTCTATGTTAACCTAAAGCCAGCGCAGGGAGGCAAATTGATGAGCACCTCCTTAGCCGCGCCAGGGAGTAAAGACGTTGCAATAGCTCCGTGCAAGAGGAAGTGATGGAATCGGCTCGCGTGCGGGGGCGGGGAGAGGCGGTGGTGGCCGCGATGGGTAGGAAGGAGGCCTTCACCCGGCAAGCGGATTGACAGCGGCTGACGACAGCCGACTTAATTTTATTTGGCGAATAGATTTTAAATTTTTTTTACACGCGACTGTCATGAGGTTAAGAGCACCGGATGTACGCAAAGGGAAATGAAAATAAAAATATTCTTTGGGTCTTTCGGTAAAGTCACGTAGATATCGATCGCAACGCAAGGTAGCTCGGCTCTCCGATCTTACATTTACATGCAAATTTCTTCACTAGCCCCGCCCACTTCGCTTATGACCCTTGGGCTACACCCATCTGAAACCTTTATAACATCCTGTGGCGAGATGATTCAGTATGCAAATGAATATGAATCCTGTTGTTATAAAGTTGGTTGAGGGGGGGGATGCGTGACGTCAGCAGGCACATGCGGGTGACATTACAGATGTGACGTCATCGTTCACTTGCTGTGCAATACATTATATCCATTATTGCGCCCGCCCCTCCAAAAAAATACAAAAGTATATTTTATACTTTTGCATTGTGTACAGTCTGGAAACTACCCACATGCCAAATTTCAAGTTTGTAGCATGTTGGGAAGTATGCTAAACATTTCAAACAAACACACATATTCACAAATTTCCCTTTTATATATGTAGATATATTAAAGCCAGAACCCTGATGTCACGCTAACTCTGTAACGCTACCGTTAATAATCATGAGTGGGCGACGTCAGTCAACATGGACATCTCTCCCCCCCCCCCCCCCCCCACATTAATAATCATGAGCGGAAAATTATTTTTCCTTATGGGCCAAACGTTAACCTGAAAAACCGTTGACTCGAAGTCACCATTAACCGAGGGACAAATGTCGCATGCAACTAAAACAACGTCCGCGCAGCTGACCGGAACCTCTCTCTCTCCGTGTGCGTGTGCACGCTCCCCACAGGAGCAGTACATCTTCCTCCACCAGTGCATCAAAGAGAAGTTGAAGAGCAAGGACCTGGAAGGCTACACCAACGACGTCTACCAAAACTTATAGGCGGGCATGCGGGCATTGGCGGAGCCGTCGATCGATCTCGCGATCGCTTCGCTTCGTTTTTGCCGTGCGTGTGTGTTGACGTGGCAGCGTGAGTGTGTTCCGAGCGTGCGCGCGTGTGTCTGTGCGTAATTTAGTTAGGGTGGAGCAGTAGTGTAGCGGTTAGCGCGCGGCACTACGAACCCGTCGACCTGAGTTCGATTCCCACTCTCGGCCAACACCAGTGACGATTACTTTGAACCGGTCCTGGGCCTCCCCTAGGTCGACTCAGCCTCAAATTAGTACCTGGTACGGTGTGTGTAAAAACATCGCCACTGGGGAGACAAAGGCGGTCGGGCGTGGTGCTGTCCACCCACCCCCTCGCGTGCCTAGCCGGCCTTCATAGGTGCTCGCTAACAGCACTTGCCCCAACATTCTGTTAAGGCTACACGGGGGATCTTTATCTGTGCGTAGAGTGGCGGTTGGTCAATAGGAAATTACTGTGCGTGTGTGTGTGTATATATATTACTAAGTGTACAGATGGAGGAGTATCCTGCTGTCTTAATTACACGTGGTGAACAAGCTGGCAAAGTATTTTATGCGGCGGCTAGCCTGTCGTTACGGTGTCCCAGCGGTCGCGATGTCGAGAAAGTAACAAAAATGTGACCATGCCAACTAAACTACACCTCTGCGTTCTGTAGTTTGTAAACGGCAAGTTTTTTTTGAACTTTTTATGCCAGGTGTGGAAGGGTACTTATTCCGCTCACTTGTGGAGCCAGTGGGGGGGGGGGGGGGGGGGGGGTACGTGCCCCCCCCCCAAGAATTAGGGATTTCGATCGGATCATTGGGGTTTATTAGTAATAAATCGGCATTTTGCGACCCCCACTGCCACTGTGTAGCATATTATTACGTGCCAGGGACTCTGTGAGATGGTAGGACAATAGCCTTGAGTCCATAATTGGCCATAAGTAACGGCAAAGCGGTTATAAGTAACTCACAGAATTGTGCGCAGTTGCGTATAGAGTCCACGACTTCCCTTCAGCGAGCGCGATGCCGATCACACAACGCGGTTCGAATTCGACCCTCGATCGATGGCTGTGCCATCGCCGCACACCTATCGAATAAAAAGCAAGGGACAAGTCCTTACTTACGAACAACTCCTATCATTTTTAAATCCTTTATATTAAGTTCGCTTGCTTGCTTACGACCGTGCAAATCTTTCGGTCGTTTTTTAACCTACTTCCCGTAATCCAATCGAGCTGACATTTTCCACACAGACTCGTTGTGCGTGACAATTAATGTTCGTGAAATTTTTTTTCCAAAATGTTACACTTTTTAGGACAAAAATATTATAATTAATTACCAATTGCTTAATGGTGCAATGTAATCATCTGACCCATAGGTGGCAGCCATCTCAAGCCAGAGGACGAGAGGACTCTAGCCGCCACGCATATAAAGGATTTATAGTGAAAAACTTTGTTTTTACGGGTTATACTTGTTAATTGCTGGAGTGGTTTCCCCCCCACCCCCCGACCTGAAAATCCTGGCTCCGCCATTTTTTCCGTTCATTCCTCGGAGTAGCAAACGGCAGCGGATTTTTTGTGCCGAGCCGTCGAACAAAGGACGGTGGTCACATTTTTAATTTAAAGCTTTCGCGACTGCAGGGATTCATCTTCTTGGTTCTTTCGGTAAAGTCACGTAGAAGGGAAATAATAAAATAATAAAAATAAAACATTCAATAATTCTCACAACGTTTCGGCCACAACGCAAGCAGACGTCCTCAGGTGAAGAACAGGTCTGTCGGGAAGACGCTGTCTGAAGAACAGGTCTGTCGGGAAGACGCTGTCTTCCCGACAGACCTGTTCTTCACCTGAGGACGGCTGCTTGCGTTGTGGCCGAAACGTTGTGAGAATTATTGAATGTTTTATTTTTATTATTTTATTATTTCCCTTCTACGTGACTTTACCGAAAGAACCAAGAAGACGGTGGTCACCGCATCGCGCGATTCAGATGCGCTTCTTGCAGCCGTTTAAAAACGCCCTTCCTTCGGAAACGAGGAGGCCCACTGGGAGCCGTGCAACTTTGAAATCGGTAAAGTCACGTAGGAAAGCTTTCTCACCTGATGACGGACGCTTGCGTTTCCCTCGAAACGTCGTGATTTATTTTATTTTCTACCCACGTGACTTTACCGAAAGAACCAAAGAGCATGGATTCCCGCAGTCACGAAAGCCTCAAATCAAGATTGAACTTTTAAATCGTCTAGATTGACGAACTAATTCCTTTCGGACTCTTTGTTGTTTTCCGCATAGCATGGTTGGCTACGTACGGTGCGAAAGAAGTCCACCGTGCATGCATACACAATACGTACGATATTGTCTGCTTGTGAACTGGAAGTGGACACGCGCGCGAGCAGTGCTGATGCCACGGCACCAGGATGTGAAAGGCAGGCGTGCCTTATAAGTGCAAACTATTACTAAGATTTTTATTTTTTTTATTTAACCAGCAGCCGCCACTGCACCCCGCGTGTGTATTTGTGCAATAGAGGACGCCCACGGGTGCCATTGACGCATCCCATAACTGTGTTTATCCGTGCAAGTACGGCGTATACGTGAATGTAGATGTACACACGCGAGTGCTTGCATGTGCATGTGTGTGTGTGTGCATGTGTGTGCGTGCGGAGCGGTCGTGTAGAGGTTAGCGCTACGCTGTGCTACGGACTCAGCGACCCGAGTTCGATTCCCGCTCACGGCCACCAACACCACCCAGTGACAATTATCTGAACCGGTCCTGGGACCTCCCCTAGGTCGACTCGGTCTCAAATGAGTACCTGGTGTAGCGGTAGTGTAGTGAGCATCGCCACTGGGGGAGACAAAGGCGGCCGGGTGTTCCATGCCGGCATTCGTAGGTGTTCGCTAACAGCACTTGCCCCTACAGTCTGTTACAGGCTATACCGGGGATCTTTGTGTGTGTGTGTGCGCACGTGCCTACATGAATACGCAGATGTTAGAATGGATATAATTTATGAATGTGTTCTTCTTATTCCTATTCCTCTTCTTAATCATTGGTTTGCTTCTTTGCACAAGGCTGGTTGGGTGGGGCACTTGAGTGCTCAGAAATCTGGAGGAGCTTGCCATGCTACCCTTTCTCCAAACACTGAGCCGAATGGGAAGGTGATTCACTCAGGAATATTGATATTCTTGGCTCTTTCGGTAAAGTCACGTAAAAAGGAAAAAAAGAAAAAAGAAAAAAAAGAAAATTAATAATTTTTTATTTTATTATTTTTTATTTGAATTTTATTTTTGTATTTTTATTTACATTTTTTGTTTTCTCTTTACGTGACTTTACCGAAAGAACCAAGAATATGAATTCCTAGATTCGAAGCTTTCGTGACTGCAGGAATTACTCTTTGGTTCTTTCGGTAAAGTATCTTAGAAAGAAATTAAATAATAATAGAATACGACGTTTCGATTGCAACACAAGCAACCATCATCAGGTACAAATGAATGAGAAAACAAACATGGTAAACTGGAAATACGGTGCAATATATTGTCTCCGTGTCTATGTTTTGTCTCTCTCTCAAATTTAGCAATCTTTGGAAGAACGTAATCAACCAGGTGGGGTGTTGACTGTTTTGTTGGCCGGCTCTCTCTGTGTTGTATTGCATTACATTTCCAAGTTTACTAGGTTTGTTTTCTCATTCATTTCTACCTGATGATGGTTGCCTGTGTTGCAATCGAAACGTCGTATGCTATTATTGAATTTAATTTCTTTCGACGTGACTTTACCGAAAGAACCAAAGAGTAATTCCTGCAGTCACGAAAGCTTTATGCCAAAATTTACTCAGGAATAACTATCTCCAGAATGTTTATTTTTTCTCTCACAGATGCCCAGTATGGGCTCAGAACCAACAAAACAACGCGAAAACACGATAGGAATGAAAAGTATTGGCGAGCAGGGCGAACAAAAGAGCTTTGCTGTCTCAACGGCTTCCTGTAGGACTAAATAAAAGACGTCCCCGAGTCTGCGAGAGGAAACATCTTGCCTGGACGGACGCTTTCTCCCACCGCGGTCGTTTAATCCTCGGAAAGTTTTTGACAAGACAATCCGGAGACCTTTAATTCCATGCCAGTCCAGATATCGTCCAATTCCGAACTGCAGTCATGTTTTCGTGTACCTTTTTAAGTTGTTGGATACTCGGTAAGCGCATGTTCAGGCCCTGGTAGGAATCACACCTCTCGTCTCTTCCGTCAGCAGGTTTATAGGTTGAGTCATCATCTCGAGGAGATACATCAGGCTCAGGATATTCACCAGGGCGCCACGGTGGCTAGGATATGTTACCTACCTCGCCTGGTGTGCAGGAGGTCGTGGGTTCGATCCCGACCCTGACGCCTGCTGCTGTATATTTGGAGTTTGCGTGTCTCCCTCATCATCATCATCACGGTGGGCTAGGAGATGTTAACTACCTCGCCTAGTATGCAGGATGTCGTGGGTTCGATCCCGGCCCTGACGCCTGCTGCTGTATATATTTGGAGTTTGCGTATCTCATCATCATCACGGTGGCTAGGGGATGTTAACTACCTCGCCTGGTATGCAGGAGGTCGTGGGTTCGATCCAGACCCTGACGCCTGCTGCTGTATATTTGGAGTTTGCGTGTCACTCTCACCGTGGTCGTGTGGAGTTTTTTCCAGGTCCTCTCCGTTTTCCCCCTCCACATTTAGAAGCAACATAACGCATTTAGAGTATTTGGCTGCAATATATTTCCACGTGATAAGCTACTAAGTTGAGCTATCATTTGTGGCCAGTTCGCTTCTAAAAAAAGAGCTATAGAGCTCAGTGGGCCTTATCCGGTAAATAAAACTCGTTTAGTTTATTAGTTTAGATTATTTGGCTGCTACTATAAATTGCCACGTGCGATGATGATGATGATATCCACTATTGATGAACTATCATAACATGTGGCCAGGTCGCTACTCAAAAAGAGCAATGTAGCTCAGTTGTGGGCATCACCTGGTCAAAGAAAAATAGCCAATCGTAAGTGAGGGTTTCCGTCTCTCGGAGGTCTAGTTGCCCGTTACTATCCCATCTCTAGGAGGTCTTGAGACATAAGGCCATGATGCAATTCCTGGATAATGGTGTTGGTAATGACCATTGTAGCAATTGAGTGGAGTGTTTTAAATTTAAGCAGAGATCACAGTGTGCCTGCTCGTGTCATCTGGTGGAATGCATTGTACTGCAATGGTGTATGTATGTATATGTGTGTCTACGTATATAGGAGGTCCCCGCTTTTACGAAGTTACAACGCTGTTCCTGGAAACCCTGTCGTATTTTCATTCCATAAGTGGAAGAGTTCCCCCCCCAACCCCCCCCCCGCCCCCCAATCCCCCCGCCTCACCTATCCCCCCTGCCCCCCCCCCTCATATGAGTCGGGTTTTCAGAATGTTTCGTTGGAAATTGTGAACAATCGCAAGATGCAAAGCACCTCCGATGAGTGCGGTTTAGGCTACGTACGGTTTCGAAAGAAGTTACAACATCCAGGGACTCCTCTACTTACGAGCATTCGACTCACGAACTTTCAGAGATACGAACCTTTCCCCATGTCCGGTTGCCCGTTCGGACCAAGAGTTGTAAGTTCAACCGCCTCGCAATGGATGGTGGTGGTGGCATCTTCATCGGCAGACCGTGAAGAACCAGCGGCGTCTATAGGAGACTATACAACTTTTAAAGCCATTCCCCGTGTTTAGTGCACGTGCCGTACACGTTCAGAATCGACGGGAGCACAGTTGGACTTACGAACAAATCGACTTACGAGCAGACGTTTCGGAGGCAACACAAGTCTCCGTCATCAGGTGGGACCGTCACAGCCAGATTTGCTGTATCAAGTGAGGCAGGGATTCCAAGAAGCAAGTTCTTAAATACAAGTTAAGCCGGATTTTTATTATTTTATTTTTTATTAATTTTAATTAAATTTTTTACCTACGTGACTTTACCGAAAAAACTAAGAGTATGAATCCTTGCAGCCACGAAAGCTTCCAATCTAGAATTACGAGAAGACCTCTGGAACCTAGCTCGTAAGTAGAGGAGTCCCAGTACAAACAGCACACACGTCGTCACCAACGCAAGGCAAACACACAGCCACCGTTCAGCGCAGCGACCACTTCAGGAAAATATTGAATCGTGTATCTTTTTTTGTGATTGACAGCGAGATGGGTTTCAATGGTGAATACCGGCGGGTGTCCCCCCCCGCCCCCCCCCCCGCCGATTTTTACGGCGTTACGACGCGCTCATTGGAAGCTCCGTCGGTTAATCGGGAACTTATTTTCCCGTCGACTGTGGAAATGTAACTCACCCAAGGTCTTATTTTTAAAACTCCCCCCCGCCCTTACTTTGATCGACGTGTATTCAACGGCGTATAATCGATGCAGACATCATCCACACACACACAAACACGCTTGTCACATCCGCCCCCTCCTCCCAGCTCCGATTAGCGACGGTTTTCGTCTACGCGCGACGCGAAATGAATTCAACGTACGTCATTTGAAAACAAACGGGGACCGCCCCACCCCCCCCTCCATTCAAATGCGTTCGGAGTTGTGTCGGAAGGTGCGTCGTAAACCAAAAAAGAATCGATCTACGGTGGCCTCGCGAGAACGTCGCGAATAGCGGGGGCTCGTCGTTCCGTCGTTATTGCCGGCCTATTGATGCTTTGTTGACGGTGACTCGATTGTGAC